AAACAATGCCGCCAATCCTCAAGCGCCTGACTAGTTACCCAAAAGACGTGTGTATGACTAGACACCCATGGTGAAATCATGTTCTATACCTGGAGTTACACTGTGGGCTGTTAGAAGGTGCTTTTAAAGCATGGAGTGAACTTACCTGGCCATGAACTTCAAGAAGACGACAAGATACTGGTCCACGCGGATAGCTACTTCGTCGTCGCCACCCTCGCTAAGGACCTCCCAGTCGTCCTTGCCCTCGTCGCCATCCTTGTTCCTTGCTTGCTCCGTGAGCTTGAGCAGCCGTGTATCGTCGACTAGCGCTTCCATGCCGCTGTCGAGTTTGCTGACATCTTTACCGGCTTTGAGCTTGGCGAGTCGAAGCTTCAGAGCAGCGTCGGCGCGGTCAAGGAGTACTTTCATGACGGATGCATGTTTGCAGGGATGTACCGAGGCAGTCTTGAGAGGGTTCTCGAAGAAAGGGAAGTCCTCGATGGTGACCGTCTTGTCCTTGTAGTCTCCGACGATATCCTCCATCATCTCTTGTGGTTTCAGTGGAACGGACGTGGAGCCGTAGCCGGAGAGATATAATCGCGGTGTTCGGTAGTGGGCGGAGTATGTGATGTAGAGGGTGTATGTGCGAAGGGGCCTGTTGGGTGTCAGTGAGTCTGTAGAGCGCTGGCAGCAGGCGGGCACACTCACGCCTTTGTATTTGAGTCGGCCTTGGGGTCTCTTATGATGGCTTCCTCGTCGTCTTCGATATCCTCCATGTCGGGTATCTCGTCATCCTCCTCTGCCGCGCCTAGGTTGCCGCTCTCGTCGACCGTCCGCACGTCGCGCACCTTGGCCTCCTGGCTTGCGGCCATGCCTCCGGTCCTGAGCCAGCCGTCATCGTCGGTCGCACCTTCCCCAGCAGCGAAGCCGTCCCTCACTATGGTCTCATCTTGGCCCGCCTCTCCCGCAAAGTTGTCGTCGAGCCGTCGGTGGCAGGGCACGCCGCGCGTTACCAGGAACTGCTTTCCTTCAGGCAGGTACGACACGCGCTTTGCAGGCGATGACGCGTCGGCCCACTGCCATGAGGGGAACTTGAAGACGAGGAAGTCGCCAGCAAGGACAAACTCCTCGGGCGTGATCTGGCCCGTCTCGCGGAAGGTCGATGTGTGGCTGATGGCGGCGGTCCGCTCCCGGAACGTGTCGATGTACGACCTGACAAAGTTGTAGGCCATGCTGGTTGCTCGTGGTTGGTCTGATTTGCTTGCGGAGTTCGAGGCCGTGGTTGAGCGGGTAGCGATGTTGTGTCGTGTATCTCTAAGGTACTTGGAGGGGCGCGGGGGTGGAGGCCTCCACCATCATCCCAAGCCGACGCTCCTCACCCCCACTTGTCAGCCGACAACACCCAACATTCATCCCCGTCATCCGCCGCCTGCCTTCACAACACTTCATCACGCTTCGATTTCACATGACGATAGCGCACTCAGGGCCCAAGACTGTCACGCACCTTCGCCGTGACACAGTGGCGCAGAGCTGTCTAGCGCTTGAACTATCCATGGATACGCTGCATGCCATCAAATATGACATCAGTGAGTATGCTGCTTCCCGACTACTGCGATAGGCTCGGAGCTCACACCGTGTCTCGATGCAGCTGCGCTCGGAGAGCCCTACGAATTCATAGTCATCCGGTGCACTTCGACTGTCGATATTCGTAGTACCGTCTGCAGGTATCCCTAAGATTGGTATCTGATTCCGCATACAAATCGGTATGCTACCTGCGCAGGCGAAACTCGTTTGCGTCGACCTACTGCCTTGAGCTGGGGAGATACACAGAAACACAGACAGGTGTCAGGACGCCCACGCTCGTGTGCGAGCGTCTGGAACTCGTAACACTCATGACAGATATCGTTACGAGGTCTGGCAGTGCCAGAGATAGTCGACGGAGCAACAAGGCAAAACGTTGTCGCAGCACAGCAAGACACGCCTTCGATTCGTTTACGTTACCTCTTGAGCGACAACTCCATGACCAAGCACACTCGTGTTAACCGACTTCAACAGATTGCCTAGCTTCAGGCTCGTTCTTCGACAGGGGGCGTTAGTGTCGACAATGATGGGCGTGCTCCATGTCTGCGCAATGTCGTACGCCGTTGCCTGAATGCAACGGCAGATCCCCCTGACATTGCCTCTAGCCTCGAATCTAGGGCTAACTCAAACATCATATCTCTCCTCGATGGACCCACATAACAAATACGTACGACTGTTCGTTTCTGGAGCTGACAATGTATCGAGCTGAGATAAAGCGATGCCACAATGCTTCATAGGTAAATTTTGTCCAGAAACGACCAGTGCGAAATTACAAGGCAAAGAAAATGGACCACATGCTCACCCAAGCCCTTCTAACCCCGTTCGGCGCTCACCGCATTCATTTGCTTCGAACGCACCCTTTTCGACCTCGAAACATACGACAAATCCTTGTCTGCTACCAAATGTTGCATGGGCTCTCATAGTCATTTCTCTCTTTGGTGCAACTTCAAAGTGAGTTCACAATGTCTTTGCTATGAGGCTAGTGGCTCATGCACATGAACGTAGGTTTTGATAGACTACAACATGAATACCAACTGACAAATCCATTAAGGTTCAGTTGATGTACGGCAACCCACAGCCGGCCCACAGTCAACCCTGAACAGCCCCACATGTTCACATACGAGCTCGGGCTACAGAAAGCGTATCCTTACCGACGTGGCGATCAGATCAGTGCTCAACAGCCGCTATAGCCATTCGGAATTCCAGCATGTGTAACGAATCTACCCGCGACTTCCGCTTATGGCAGATTGTACCCATAGTAGCAACGGCTGGGTGCCTTTGCACGTTTGGGAGAAATCCTTGAACCACGCTCATTCCAAATGCAAAGTCAAGCACGCGGAAACATCTAAAGAGCTTCGTACCATATCGCAGACTGTCCATGCATGTCAAATCGATTGCAAACAAAGACCATGGGAAGTACTATCGGCCGGCAGTGCTCGTATGTCTGTACCACTGAGTCACCAAAGTAACAGTGACCGATGCAGGCATTACCCTCAAAAGAAATATGCTCTCAAAGAGACGGAATGGTCACAGCGGCAAAATACCCACAAATTCTCAAGCCAAAAAGCTGAGCCATTCGCGGAGCGTCAACGCCGTGCTGCCAACAAACGCACCCACAGCATATCTCAAGAAACTATGATGTACAGCGTCCTTACCAAAGCTTCAGCACTGGCTACAACACCTTCAACACTTGTGGCATGGCAGAAATAGCGCCCAGTCGATCCGAGCCACTTGGTGCATCTATTGAGACTGTACCAATGGTCTAATGTCGTGTCGCCTCAAGCGTCTCCCTCTGTCTATAAAGGCCCCATGCTCGACAGCGGACTGAGCATATTTCATCCGATGACAAGGACATTGCAACTATTCCTGACCTCATCACGAACAGCATATTCACTTATCTTTCGACCTCACGAACGGCACGCCGGAATTTCGAACCTATATATCGCTTCTCACAAGCTGTCATTGTTGCAATGACGGATCCCAGTACAGTAAACGATCCTTCGCAGCCGCGATGCGGAGGTTGACGCCGACATATTACACCGCCCAGGCCCAAGTATGCATCAGGCTTATCTTTTGGAGGTCGACGTCGCTGATATAATGGTGCGAAACAGTCATTGCAATTATTCGGTGATCTGGACCACGTGCTACACAGTCGCACGCATAGCAATATCTTCATCAGCTTGACGATTTTATCCTACCAACAGCCAGCCGCTTGACAGAAGGGGCACCAAACACCATGGCAGCACCATCGCCAACACGCGATCAGCATATGCGGGGCCTATCTTTCTATCCCGCACTTTTGCGTTGCATGATGGCACATTATTGAGTTCGCAGTCCTCGGTATCACCTTCTGCACAAAATCAAGCTCTAAGTACAGTCGCTCCGAAATTTGCATGTTTTGTCCTCTCTCCAACCGCAATTTCACCACGATGTTACTCATAGTAACGAGCAATACCACCTTTCAACCTGTGTATTCTCGGTCAAGGAACATGCCAAGTGGTACCTTCCCTTGCTGTGGTTGGAAACATGTCGTGTCGCCAGGCTCTTAGCATTCCCGCGCCGCGGAACGCTCACCAGTGACACGAACACGGGCAGATGGGCATTCTACCACAATACCATCGAGCACATGACAACGGTTTGCGCCTCGGTGGGGACTTCCGAGAACAACGGTTGGCTTTCGTTTTCTCTGCTCGAAAAATGAGCACTGGATGAAACCCGCGCTTCTCCAATCAAATGGTGACTCCCGCGTGTACAGCATCCGCTTCTTCGTTGGCAACGTTACTATGCGACATGCGGAAATTCGTATCGGAGCCGACTTCGGCAGGTAACGAGGATGCTGTGAGCTGTGAATTTGCGATTAAGGAACATGTCTCGATACTCGCCTTTCTCCGTATCCAAAGAACTTGCGGCAGAGTGAGTCACCACGACAACGACAACGATAACAATGCCCCAATGATAGCCGCATGTTGCGATTCCCGTCGTTCAAAAGCAGTATACTAGCCCCAACGCAGCGGGTATAACACTTACAATCATAGTACAAGGCAATGGAAACAGCAGAGGCCCTGTACCACGCTAACTAGAAGAGTAGGAATGTGGCTAGCGGCTGAGACCGGGATACGCTCACGACTGTTGCAATTGTGTGGCATATGCACGGCTGTAGTCCGTTTTAGTGGCATGTGAAGGCCTCAGACGGTGATGGTTCAACGAGTATGGGGAACTTCCACCTTCGAAGAATGGCTTGCGCTTCGAACACGTCCTGCACCGCAGTCTTTGAAGCAGCATCAGTCTAAAGCATTTTCATGTTTCAGATGGAACCGGAGCATATCTATTATCGCTCAGCTCACTGATCAACTAGACTCCTCCCCAGGTCCTTGCTCGGTGCATCCCCCAACATGCACTGGAAAGCGAGGTGGGCGGAACCTGTTCACCCATCCAACATCCTAAACCTTGACATCAAGGCTGAAGCTCGAAGCCGACCACCTCGCAGGCCCACCAGTGAAAGCTTCCGTACCGATTTGATAGACTACTCATGTGTCAGTACCAGTCAGCTCTAACCGTGCAGGAACTACCTACCGATCAGATTCTGCGTGCTCGCAGGGTACTGCTGGGTCTGTACCAGGTAGTTGAAGAACAACTTGATATCAGCGCTAAAGCTCTTGATATCACTGTTTCCAGCGCGTACGAAACTGTACACGCGCATCGACCCGTTGTAGCCGGTGTAGAGATCAAACGTGTATCCAGCGATGGTAACGGTAGCCACTGGGGCTCCAGCTTGCGAGATAGGCCATACGCCTCCCAGCCTCCCGAGCCTTCTCCACGTTAGCCTCGCTCCGTTGCAGTCATCGTTTAGACACGGCATGAACGTACCAGACCATAAGCTCATAATCCCCACTACTATTAACATGCTCGGGATCCGCCGCAGTAAAAACATCATACGCCACATTCGCCCTCACATTGCTCGTCTGATTATACGACCACTCCACCTGCGTCGGCATACTAGTAATCTGCGAGATCTTTTGCCCTTTGGTCAGGATTTTACCGGCGTAGGCATAGCTCTTAACTTGGTCCTGGCCGCCTTGCCATACCCAATCCGTGCTCCATTTGATTCCGTTTCCGGTGCTGCCCTCGTAGTAGGTGCACTGAGAGCCAGATGTCGCCTGGTCTTTGCCCCAGAGGTTGTTGAGGATTTCGTAGCCGTTTGCGGAGTGGTAGGCGTATTGTGTGCAGAGGCTGACGGTTTCTTGGACGGAGGTTGCGGAGCGGGAGGTGAGGGTGGGTGTGCCGACGGGGGTGGCTGAGACGCTGGTTAGTAGACCGGCGGATAGAGCGATGAGGAGCCTCATGGTGGATTCGACGAGTTTTGTACGGGAGAATGGACACGGATTTTGTCTGATTAGTGATACACGGTTCTGTAGTTCATTTTATACTAATTCTACACAAAGATCAACTTCAGCCTCGGATGCACTTCAGCCGCTCCATATGAGATTTCGTAATTGCCCGATCAGCGACCAGCCCTTTTAGCAAACCTGTTGGTCATGGCACAAGACTAAGCTGTATCGGAGTAGCCTCACTCCCGGCCCTTCAGCCTCCAGATGAGGTACGAACGAGTTAATGACATGGATGTTTAAGTCACGGTCGAGGTAGTAGGGCCGGTTCACTTTGTGTGGTGTATTTAACCTTATGAAGCTTCATATATGCTAGTGTGACCGGGTGTTGAACTCGGCACACATGCGGGGTACCTAGACCGTATAGCAGCAAATTGTATGTGCAAGAGCTCGGTATGTTCCGAAGACAGGATCAAACATCAAAGAACGACATTCACTATGCCGAAATCAGGGAACGGGTGGATTGTGTAGTAACTTGCTTCTCCACACGTCTAACAGCCCCATCTATTCCAATCGTGCAACATGGATCCCTCACTTTGTTCCTCGCAGTAGGATACTCCACGGAATGCAATACCCCCCAAAGTGTACCCCTAGTGCCCTATAGCAAGCCAAACAAATGCAAAGCAGCGACCAACAAACTCAATATATGCCTTGTGTGCGGTACTGGAAAGTATCGTAACTATCATGTCGTCAGTAAATGTCGTCTACAAGTATAGGGTAAAGGTCAGACTTACAGTCGGGTATAATAACTCCCCACACTCTTCGCAACGAGTTCCTCGACGAACCCTTCGGCCTCCTCCCTACTCAAATGCAACATGAGACGCGCTCTCAGACTATTCGTCACGCTCGCCGCGCCAGCAGCAAAGCATGGCATGCTGCTCTGTTTGCTCATCAAATCGACCAGCATGATAAGTCTCTCAGCGTCTTTCCTCAGCGCTTGGAACGCCTTCTTGCACAGCGTTTTGAACTCGTCGAACGCGGGAGATGTTACGCCGCCTAGGACGTCGACGTAGTCTTGCGTTAGTTTGAAAGGCGCGGCTTCGAAACCCATAGACCCGGGGCTGTTGGAGAGCATGAAGCCAAAGTCGATGTGGATTATGTGGCCCATGTTATCGATGAGGAGATTGCCGTTGTGGCGATCCTTCAGTTGCAGAACGTAGCATATCATGCTGTATGCGGCCAGGGAGCGCGCGAAGCATCCTACACCCGCAATGTAGGCTTCCGAGTCTGGCTCACCGAACGTCTTGAGCCAGTGGTCTTTTAGGGTTGCGATGCGTTTCCGGGGGTTCGTACCTGCTGCTATGCTAGCAAGTGTCAAGCTTCGTTTCAGGGAGTGAAGAGATACACCGTTGGTGATGGTCTCGATAAGTCCGCAGGATTCGCCGGTGACCAAGATACGCATTCGTTTTGTCCAGACTGGCACATTTGCTTCTTCCCAGATCTTGGTGCATACTTCGATGAGCTGGCACGCAAACGCTTCTTGACGCAAGTCGGCTCCGGTCTTGACAATAACACTGATCAGATCCCAGTTCTTCATATTACCATATGGAGAAGATCGCCGTATTCGCTCTCGCTTGGCGCTCCATTCTTCACCGAATGTCGCGGCGCTGGGGTCATCACGATCGCCCTTCCGCTTCATACCACCAGTTTTGAGATCGTTCTCCATGCGAGCTGCACCCGCACCGGTGTTAGTAGCGACGGCCAAACCGTCCTCAAGCTCTTCTGGCTCGGCACTGATTGCAGCTGGATCCGACTCTGCCATGATCGTGTCGAAGGTGGGGCCCTGGTCCTCGTTCAAGAAGTTTTGCTCTTCCAAGCTTTGCATGCTTGCGATGATCTTGGCCTTGATCGCAGCTACTTCGCCCTTTGGCCGTTTCGCGCCACTCGCCTCGAGCTGTGCAAGCATCTGGGCAGCGGTGCGCATGTGAGTCGCAAGGGCGGAGAAGTCTGGTTGATCCGCTGATTGATTCCGCTGGTTCAAATTCGCAGGAATCGTCATTCGCCTGATCGGACCGGGACTGTTCGACCTGCTGATCTGCGAGTCGGAAGTTCGTGGTGTAGACAAGGTGGCCACAGAGGACAGAGTGTTTGCTCCACTAGAAGACCTGGGGGCTGTGGCTTTCACATTGGCAGCCGCAGCAGGCAAGGTTATGCGTGCCATCCCGGAAGCAAGGTCGGTATCATCCATATCCTTGATGAGCGAGGTGCTGCCCAGGTCTCCAGTAGCGGGCTCGAACACGCTGTCTGATCCATTGGGTGGCGTGCGGTCGAAGGCAGAATACTCAGCATGAGTGATGTCAAATAGTCGTCTCCGCGAGGTGCCCTTCTCTAGCATCAGTTTCTCAAGCAGCTGTTGGTTCTGTTCAGTGTCCGGATCAAAGTCAAAGTCCTCCTCCAAGACCTCAACCATGAGCAGATACGGTACTCGCTCTGCACTGTTGAGACTAGTCGCTTCCGCGGGGTTGATGCGCACTATGCGGTGATGTTGACTCTGCGACGGGATCCCATCCTTGAGAGTCGGAGGCGATAATAAGGGTATATCAACTTCAGCCGGCAAGTCCTGGGCGATCAACGCTAGTTCAGCCCTCAGAGCACTCAGCCGCGCGGGCTTCGGCACAACGACCAGGCGGTTTGAGATGTCCTCGAGCGCGCTGAGAAACTGGGTCTCGTTCCGGAAGTAGTTGGATCGCAGTAGTCGCACCTTCTGCGCGCGGGATAAGGCGGTGGGTGAAAGGGGCCTCGGTGGCAGCCCGGGGTGCTTGCGAGAACCATGCTGGAGTGGGCCTGGTCCGAGGCCAGCAGTTGCGGGAGGTGTGGGCAGGGGAGAAGACGTTTGGTCTCGGAAGTCGGGTAATGACGACGAGCTGAGCCGGGCCTCCGAGGCTATCGACAGCAACGAAGGGCGATGCTGCATCGAGGGAGTCCGTGTAGTAGCTGGCGGTCGTACAGCTGCCTTCCTCAGGTCCTTGGGTTCACGTGGCCGCGAGGACGAAGCCTTGACGGATCGCCCATCCTCAGGGTCGGAGTGCTGCTGCGCTATCCTCTTCTCCTTGGAGCGTGAGGAGCTGCCCGTGACGGTCTTGCTCCGCCCGACCTTGGCCGTCTGCACATTGTCCGAGATGATGTCCTCGACGGGCCGTGGCTTCCGCGCCTGCGCAATGGCCAGGGGTCCGGCGTGGACGGGGAGGAAGGGCGCGGCTATGCTCGCCAGGACCAGGCTCGAGAGGACCGTGACGGGCAGGACGTTCTCCTTGATCTTCTCGCGGCGCTGGGGCTCGGCGGACCCGAAGACGATGCGCTGGACGCGGTTGTAGATGCGGCGGCATGTCTTGAAGGCAATCGAGTTGGGGGCGCTGGCGAGGTCGTGCAGGTACGTCTGGAACAGCCAGAAGGTCAGCAGCGCGCCGTTGACCGACTCCTCGCACAGGTCGATTATGAATTCCTCCAGGGCCATGGACTCATTGTCGATGCTGATGAGCAGGTGGCAGAGCCTGTGCCCCGCGTGTGTAAGCTAGCTGTCCATGTCTCGTCGAGGTGGGCAGGCGGCGACGTACTGCGGGAGGAAGAACTCGAGCTCCTCGTAGGCGAACTGGCGCAGCTTCGAACAGAGCACATAGTGGATTCCGACGTGGTCTGCATACCGGCTGCGGTCATGGCCATGGTCAGCAACGGGCCCCAATGCGGACGGGGAGGTGGAGGTGAAGGGCGCTGCGTGCGGCGGTGCTGCGGGCAACGGTGGCTTCGGGGCACATGGGACGGGGACGGGGAGGGACGGGGACTCACGCAAGGTATGCTACTGCGAGGCTCGGATCTTGGTTGAAGTGCTCAGATTCTATAAAGCGCTCTAGCAGATTCCAACTCATCTGGGACGGCTCATTGGGGCTCAGGACGGGTGGAGGGCGACGGCATGCGGTGAAATGCTCAAAAGGGTCGCATACGGAAAGATGGGGCGCGACAGGGTTCAGCGGGCGGAGCTGCTCATCTCCGCCGCCTGCGTGATAGATAGCCTAGCAATGCGACATCCACTGTATTACTCCACTAACACTACTGCTTTCACTATGCTTCCTCCAGTCCAGCCATACATTCCGCCATCATAAAGAATAATCCTGCAACAATAAACAGATACCCGCAGCCAACGCCGTGCATTTGACTTTTTGAATAAGCCCAGCCCTCGCGCGCAGTGAACAACATATCGTACACCGGGGAATATATACAATACACGTGCAGTCTAGTCCGCAGCGTGCAGGTCGACAAAGATGTTGATGGCCGCCACCAAGACTTCAGCAAAAATGAGAATGATGACGATCCACTCGAGCAATTCACCCTGTATCGGTCAGCGGATGTACGGCAAAAAAGCACAAGTCGGATACTTACGTGAGTGACGGTCAGCTGATCTTTCAAGACAGCAAGCAAGTCTCCGATGACGTTGAGTCGCTCAGTCAAGAGACTAACTCTCTGGTCCATCTCCAGATAGCTTCTCACAGCTTGATACACCGGGTCTAGCTGCGGCTCAGCCCACATGAGCTCAGGCGCATCAAGGACCGATCCTTGCAGATGGATACTAATGCGGAGAATGAACAATTCTCCAATCTGCATGTTGATCTGCTTCTTGTTCAGGTTGATCTTGCCGGAGCTGGCGATTTCAGCCGGGATGTCTTTCGTCTCGTCGATAGTGTTGTCGACCAGGTCCTCGAACAGCGACGTCTTGACACTCTGGGAAAGACCGTGACTAATCGCTAGCTTGATCATGTAGTTCTTCTTGTCGCGCAGACTGATGAAGTCGTTGTATATCCGGGCCTGGTACTCGCGCGTGTAGTAGAAGTTGAACTCTTCCGTCTCAATCTCATCTTTGCCGAGCTTGTCCACTTCAAACTTGGCGATTTCCTTCAAGAACTTCTTCTCCTCCTGCAGTGTCATGCCCCAGATTACAACAGTGCCGTACTCAAACAAGAATACTT